GGGGGGCAAGGGAAGTCCAGGGAGGGGTTGCGGCTATTAACGGCAATAAACGGTCCAGCAAAACTGTCGGGCCAAAATTAGGAGGCTGAAATCAAAACCAACCAAAATATACACATTGATGATGGGATTTGTTGCGCCCACCTTCTATATTCTCCCCTACACTCACCACTCACTGTCTGTCGCGGTTTGTTGTTCTGCTCCGAGTCACGACGCCACCCAGAGCACACGTATGGCTTTCCGTTTTCGGGGTTTGGTTGGTGTGTGTGGGAGGGCCGGGGAGGTTAGGGAAAGGGGGGGGGAGCAACTGCAGTCGTGCTGATTCAGCGATGTTTTCGTCTGGCTCCGGGGTCATCGCACTCAACCAATGGGCATGTGCATGTGTAGTATGACTTCCACCGCAGTGGCATGCAAGTCTGACGTACTTTCGTCTGATGCAAAAACTAAAGGTTCTAAGACTGATAAGCAACCGACATTAAAGATAATACACTTGCAGGCACTATTTTTAGATAGGCCCTCTCTATCCGAAGGTAAAAAGATTCCCCTGTGTTTTGATAAAGATTGTCGTTTGCCGTTCCAGTTTTGGTAAAGATTTTTTTAGTGTACAATACAATACCGTAGTTCCTCGGCGACGCGTTTGAGAAACCGTCCAGTCGAGGAGCCAAGAACGCGTCGCATCCGAGTGGCCGTAAAACTTTTGACGCTTAATTAAGAAGGGAAGTCCGACACAAGCCCACGCCGCCGGCGCCGCGCAGCAGCCCCGCGGCACCGGCTTCCAATATACGAGACCGCAGAGGACAAAACTGCGGTAACTGGCATGTGAGACCCATAATATTTGGGCCTATCACTGCCGTCAGTAAGTGCAACAAGAACATATATTGCTCACAAACACACACACACACAGCTGCAGATGGCGGTGAGTCACGACGACACGTCTGCGCGTCTGCGATGCTGCGGCCGGCCAGTGCGGTGAGCAGAGAGAATCATCTGTTTCGCGGATGAAAGTTTACCGAAAGAGAGAAAGAAAGAAAAAGAGAAAGAAACTCTATACAGAGGGGCGATATAAAAAGAAAAGCTTTGCTCACATCATCGCCTCGCCGCGGCCAAGACGCGTCAGGACGCCCGCTAATGACCCACGCGCCTCTGTCTGTCTGTCTGTCTGTCTGTCTGTCTGTCTGTCTGTCTGTCTGTGTGTGTGTGTGTGTGCTTTTGTTTCAAAGTGTGTAGAATGAATAAACCACAGACGCCTGTCGCATATTTTTGTGAATGTTTCGATTTGCATGACGTTCTGCTGCGTTCTTTTCTTTCGACAGGTGGGCGTGAGGGCGAAAAAGAGAGGGGTGAAGTATAGTAGGGATATAAGGCACCATAGGGGGGGGGGGACTAGCTACTAGAAGGGAGCAAAGAGAACGGAGAAAGGGGGAAAGGGGGGGGGGGTCAAAGACGAAGGGTTGGAGTCGAGGATAGAAGCTCGGTTGCGTGTGAGTTATAGGCGCTTCCCAGACACATCGTTACCCCACTATAAGGCTCTCTCTCTCTCTCCAAATATTAAATTAATCACTTACCCGTGTGGGTCCCTTCCATGAGCCACATTCCAGCGACGCGGGCCCTATGGAAATGAACGGCGCGCTCAGGTCACACGGCTGGAGGGGGGGGGGGGCATGAACCGACCGCGGCCGCGCGGGCGGCGGGGCGGACCCTGTCATTTTGACCAAAAGCGACCAACACGAACTACATGCCCTTCTTCCCCGATCCACCTTGTTTCCTTTCCTCCCTCTCTCGCTCTGGACATCCGAAACCATCACACCATTCATGAAAGCCCAGCCCGGCCGAGTGGTCACGTGGTCACACCACAGGGCCGTATGGTCAGCCGCCGCCGCCCGGGCCCGGCATTCCTCGACGCGACGCACGTGAGGTACCAGAGTGTGGGAGGCGGGAGACATCAATTTGTCCAGTCAGTGAACTACGCGGCTCCGAGCAGTCATTTTCACAAAAATATCCAGTCTTTAACCCGGGCGGGCGCGCGTCAGTTTTTAAACCAAACCGAACCAATGTATTTTACTCTCGATTTTACTTGTGCATAAACCTGCAGGAACGTTATATTTAAAAGCACAATTTCATGCATAACAGCTTTCGTAATTTATACATAGTTATGTTCACACTTGGAGATCATCCAGAAAGTATGCGTCCGTCACTCGCCGCCACGAAATTGCCAAGTTCAGCAGACCGTGCGGCCTCCCATAGCGCCTTAGGGTAGGCAACAACTCGCCTGCAGTGCACACGTGTACGGCGGGGTGGCCTACCCGGAGTCTCGTAGGCGCCGAGCTCCCGTACTTTCAGTCGGATCCAGCCACGCGTTTCAAAATCAAAGCCAGTCACACCCAATCTTTTGAATTCTAGTTAGAGTAGGTTATACTCATTTCCGCAGTGACGTACCCCTTCGATGGAGACGGCGGAAATGAAGCGCCGGCAGCGGCCCCGGCCGAGAAGTTTGTCAGAAAAGAGTTCGCCACGAAGTGGTAACGACCGTCTGCGTGCGAAATAGCCGCATATTCGAAGTACAGGGTAGGTGTGTCACGCCATATCGGGCAATACAGGATGACCCATAGACACCGAAAAATTAATTATTTGTACAGTACCAAATCGACCGCATACTGCATGCTTGCCTATCGTCTCCCACCACGGCGCCCTATGGCCCCTTGAGAGTGGGCAACGAATCCACGGGTATGCATGCGGTACAGCATACAACTACGAAATTCTCCGGGGTCGGGGGGTCAGGGTCTCTGTGGGCCATCTTGCATTTAGGGTTGCCTGCGCGCTTTTCAAGTCAGAATCAGTCATCAGATGACTGCAGCGAATCAACACAGGACCACAAGGCCAGTTGCTAGGGGGGCCAACACTGCGACCCGGCCCGCGGCACCTCAGCCCCGAGGCTGCGCCATGGCCGCCCCCGTGACCGTCGTGCTGCTGCTCGCGCTGCTCGGCCTGCTGCAGCCGGCGGCCGCCCAGGACTACTGCCAGCTGTCGGCGTGCCCCGGCGGCAGCCACACGGCCTGCAAGTTCAAGCCCGGCGCGGGGCCCGCCGAGAAGTGCTCCAAGGACGCCGTCGGCATGACGGACGCCGACAGGGACGCCGTCCTCAGCCTGCACAACAAGCTGAGGGGCGAGCTCGCCGCCGGCCAGGTCAGTCCAGGAGGGGCGCGGATTCGCGTGTCGTTAGGGTTGGAAATTCCCGAATATTTCTCGAAAATTTCCTACAAAACGGAAATTTTCAGGAAACTTTCCAGAGCTTCCCGCCCTAGAAGTGGTGGTGGGAGGGGGGAGGCGTTGACATTGCCAGTGTAACCCGCCTTTGCGTAGGCAAAATGCAGCTATAGAGCGATAGAGTGACACCAGATTGACCGCAGCTGGACGGCTTCGCCAGTGCAACAGACATGCAAACGCTCAAGTGGGACACGGAGCTCGAGACAGTCGCTCAGGTTTGGGCGGACCAGTGCGACTACGGGCACGACCAGTGCCGGAACGTTGAACGCTTCCCGGTGAGTAGTACCGGTAATACTCCGCGACGCCCTCTCCGCGAGGAGTATCGCCAAATAAGTGGGCGATCCTACCGCGTTGCCGTTTACTAGATTCTACATCCATTGATCTGTTCCAGGTGGGCCAGAACATAGCGATGACGGGCGGGTCCGGTGGGTACACCTCCGAGCTCCCAAAGAAAGTGATGATGTGGTGGGACGAGTACAAGCTGTACAGATACAAGGACGGCACCTTCGTGTTTAACCACGACACGGGCCACTTTACGCAGATGGCGTGGGCCAAGACCAACCTGCTGGGTTGTGGCCGGTCCACATATGTCGACAAGGGGTTCACTAACGAGTACTTGGTATGCAACTACGGTCCAGCGGGAAATGTCCAGGGCCAGAAAATGTACACGGCAGCGGGGCACAGGCCAACCACATGTGTGTGTCTACTTGTCATTGCCGTCTCCTTCCTAATTTTTCACATCACTCAAAATTACTCCCACTCCTCCCACTCCAAAATCGGCAAGGTAAATTAAATAAACCCAAACAGCAGTAGCTAAAATATCTCCTGTACCTTTGAATTGAGTCAGCCTGCTGGAGCCAGTGCAGTAATCCTGGGCAGGTGCTATACTACGCCCTGAGTATGAGTTGATGAATGGACCAATCTGCTGTCAAACACAAATTTTCAAATAAAGTATAAAAGCATTCAATGCTGGCATATGCATTCAAAAGAACAGCAAGTGAACCCAATAGTGATTTTAGTGATGTATTGATCCAAATAATATAAATAGCTTAGATGTGATAACAATATGTTATTAAGTCACTCAAAAGCAATCTCCCACACAAATTTTCAGCTACTTAATACAAGTCAGGACATTTCGATAATGCATGTTTTCAACAATAAGTTTAAATAACCATATGCTTACATTTAAATATACACCAATTTTAAGATTAACGTTCATTTCCTCCTCCTGTGAACTTGGGTCCAACCATCAGGATCAACCCCATGAGTATCCATAGAATTATTCATTGGATGCTGTCCATTAGAAGTACTAGGTCCACCATTTCCACCTTCATCTTCGTCACTCTCTTCATCACCTTCCTGTAAAAGTTTTGAAAAGGAATATTGTTAACAACGTAACCTCATATTAAATTAGAAACAGAACATAGTGTACAAGTAAATTCAAACCTGGAAATTAGAGCACTGTCCCTGGGTTTGATTTATACATTTACTCAACCAGTTTCCAACAGGGGGAAGTTTGGCCATTTCAGATTCAACTAGTGCTCTGTCCCCTGTTGAGCAATGTCTGTAGAACTCCCACAATAGTAACCCTACTTCATCTGTTGAATCATCTTCGCAGATAGTATTGAATTCGTCATCCATCATATCTCCCAATAGGTCGGCAACTTCCTGCCAGTCTGCGTCCGCTGTGCCAAAACAAGAACATTGACAAAACACTAAATGTGTGGTAAAAACAGCAGTAGTTCATACACCTAAAAAAATACATACGTTTGTTCCTGAATAATTGAACAGCTGCATCAACCATGCCCATCGCTTTGGCATAGCTCTGTGATCCACCCATTCCATGCTCGACAGCCAGCTAAAACAAAGAAAGGGATGTGAGTCCCAGAATGTCAGTTTTCAACAGAGATCTCCAAGTCTTTAACATAGGGTAAAGAAAAAAAAAATAAACCGCTTTAAGTCTGAGCTAGGCCATACGGTTGGCAAGAAGTGCTACACACAAACAGGAATAACAGCCGATTTTCAAATGACACCCAAGAAATATTCGTGACTTTTAATTAAAACTGTAAAAGTGGAGTCAAGTGTGCACTTAAATGAAACATAACACAGCATTTTCTTATATTGTGCCTGTTTTTTAAAGATAACCTCAATATTTAACTAGTTCCAAAGTTGGTTCAGTATTTACAAGGCTTGACTATCTCACCTGCAAAGCAGTCCACGTATTGAACACTCTCCCAGCTGCATGCCGGAACAGTTCTTCGGGGTGTGCTGACATTTTAATTGAAAATCTTCTCTAAATTTTGATTTTTAACCACTATCACATGGATGAATAACCCCTACATCGCCGTCGCCGGGCTGCTAGAGAGGAAGGTTGTGGTTGGTGGGAGGTGGGGTGGGGGCGGGTTGGGGAGGGGAGGAGGAGTCTGTATATGAGAAATTCATACAGTAGCCTCAAAAAAGCCCTCATGTTGCAGTTTCTAATCTGAATACCCCCCCATCAAGCCATTTGGCGTTTGGTTCATTCATGTTCATGTTTGTGTTTGTCGTTTGTCTGTGTCAGAGTGCGTCAAGGATTGGAAAGTTTGGATTTTTTAGATTTTTCTCAGTTCAGACACCAGACACGTAAAGTTTTCTCCCAAGTTCTTTCAGTTTTACTTAGTGGTAAGTTTTTCTTGATATTCAAGCTCTAGGAAATCTGATTGAAATGGTTTTGCATGTGGTTCGGTTTGTGATGCCGTATTCCTACCGTCTGTCATTGAACTCGTTCATATGCTGACTTTAAGCTCTTTTACTATAGTTATTTCGGGTGTAGGGTTTTGGGAACTATACTGTGTACAACTCTAGTTGTGAGTGCATCTGAATTTCAGTAAGACCGGTTCCTTCTCTCAGAGAGTCTCATAGCATCATGTCGATATTGTCCAGTGTTTTGTTTTACTTAACCTCTAAGTGGCTAGAATGTTATGTTCCTTGCTTTGATATTGCACCGGATAAATCACTACAGTTTTGAACATCAGGTTCTTTGTTCTCTGTTTCATCTTGACTCAATGTTGACTGCTGTGTAGTAATTTAGTTTGTTGTTTTGGCAAGCAATGTGCTGTAGGCATTTTGTTATGTATGACTTCCTTCTTTATGATATGATGGTGAAATGCTCTTGAATGGCATGTCGTGTTTGGGTAGAAGGCTGGCAGTGAGATGCAGCACCCAACTGCTGAGCCTGCAGAGGACGCGGAAGACAAGGATGAGGTTGACGAGGATGGGGAAGAAGACGACTCTATTGATGAGGTTTCTATTTTTGCTGAGATGTCTTATTTGACATTCAATAATCTTTAATTCCTAGAATTCCATATTCCTCAGTTCATTTTCATCTTTTAAGACTCTTGAATAACATTAGACACAATAAGTATTGTCTTAGGCACTTTTTGCTAGCAGAAACACTATTGTTAAATTATGTTTGGGATGGGTGAGATTTTATATTCACTCGGCAGGATATTGGTGAAGACAATGGGGATCGCAAGAGGCCTCCCAGCTCATGCCTCATCGCACGCACCATCACTCTACAGATGCTCTTGGCAGATCGCCTACTCGAACCGGGAGAGGGTGCAATGTCAATAGAATATATGGTGAGCTAGCTGTGCGTTTATGCAGCCACCACTGCTAACGATGCTGTCTTTGCTTAAGCTGCAACAGTGTGCTCCTTGCCGTAGCCAAACTTTTGCTTGTTGCCAAATCTATGCCATTGGCATGATGAGTCTTGTACATTATTTTATATAAACTGTAGATATTAAGAGGAAATTTTTTTAGGGGACTAATAAAAAAAAGAAATGGTGCATGCTAAGCTTATTTCATTTTTGTTTTTACTTTCTTATTCTTTCATGTTCTCGGCCTTGCACTTATCGCATTCTTTCAAATAAAGCTTCCTTGCTTTTTGTTATTTTCTCGTTATTTTTTTCAGTTTACTTTCATTGCCAAGTGCAGTGTTCAAGAAAACACAGAGAGTTACCAAATAAGTTATTCAGTTTTGTGCTTTGTCCCACACAGATTTTGCTGCAAAATATGTGGTGAAGAATTGGCTTCTTTGATTTAGGAAACCCTTTAACAAAATATATGTGCTCTAAAATCAGAAGATGCATGCAACACATTTCACTTTTATCAGCAGTTTTCAACAGGTTTCTTGTCCTTCGCCTCCCTCTCTCTGTCTTTCTCTTAGAGGCAAATAAAGTAAGGCAGGCAGCTAATTGTTTCAAGCGTCAGTAATAGCTTGGTTCTAAATAGAGAACTTTGTTCATCTTTGACTAATCTACTAACTTAGCGTTTATTTGCCTAAATTTTAGTGGCTGCAGTTCAATAAGAAATGTGCCTTGTTTATTCAATTTTTGTAATGCAATGTTTGTAATTTTGTTCTTTCTTTCTTCTGATTTTAGGGTCAGCGCTTTGTTGGTGATCTTCTGCCTGATGGGAAGATTCGATCTCAGGAAACAGATATTGTTTTTGTTACACCAAGCGCATGGGCTGTAAACTGCAGAAGAATTATTAACCCAGGGAAAAAGTCGGGTTGCGGATGGGCATCGGTATGCAATCATTTAAAACTAGATATATGAAACACCGTATGTATAAGCTCTGGGAGAAATTATTTTTTTCTTAAATTTATCGTTTATTTTGATGTATTTTATGTAGATTAAGTACAAAGGAAGAAAATTGGATGCTTTTAAGAATATTTGGATAAACCGCAGAAACGAAGAACGTGAAAAACTCTGTGAGGTAGTAGATGGTGAGTATAAATTTGTTACCTTTACTCTTTATTTAGTACCTCACAGTTTAAAATTATTCATGTTTCCATTCATCTTTTTATTAGGCTATGAATTAAGCATAGACAAGGATAACACAATGCTAGCTCCTCCACCACCACCTCCACCTCCTGCCCCAGTATCCTCTGCTGGTCCTGCAACTGTAGCTGCAACATCAGCTGCAGCCATGGTGACAGCAACTACTACTGCAGCTGCCATTGCTTTTGCTACAGCCACTGCGACATCAACAGCTGTTGTTACTCCTTTAGTTGTTCCACCCAAGCCTCCAATTAGAATGCCAGTTAAGCACCATAATATTGGCAATCGTACCAGTATGCAGTGAGTATCTTTGCTCTGTATTTGTTTATCTTAATATTTTGTCTGCTACAATGTCAAAACATTTTTGTTTTCTTTCTTTCTTTCTTCTTTTTTTAAAAATTTAAAATTTGATTTTGATTTGCAGTGACCCCAATATGTTGGTTGAGAGTACAGCCTTCTCTTCATTAGGGAAAATTCAACCTTTCCTTGTCTCAATGTCTTCTAATGCTATGTTAGTAATGGACTTTCACTGCCATCTGACAACCTCTGAAGTGTGTGGCTACCTTGCAGGGCAGTGGGATGTGAATGCTCATAGTAAGTCATGTCTAAATATGTTCTTGTTATGCCCATCTTATTCATTTTTTAAAACTCCTCTCTAAATATTAATATTTTTTTTCTGTATTTAACAGACCTAGCAGTTACCTATGCTTTTCCATGTCACTCTCGGCTAGATGATCAAGCAAATGGTCCATCTGTTGAGAAAGAAATCAGGAAAGAAATAGAACTTAGGGGTTTGATACCAGTTGGATGGTATCATTCTCATCCAATGCTTCCAGCTTCACCATCTCTTAGAGACATTGATAAACAATTAGATCATGAAATGCACATGAAGGGCTCAAGTGATTCAAGCTACACACCGTGTGTGGGGGTTATTTGTTGTAAGTTTCCTTTCATCTGTCAATGTGATTTTTATTTAAAATGCCAAATTTATGACATACTTCTAATTCTTTGTTGAATCTTTAGCACCATACTTTACTGATACTTCAAATGTTGAATCAAGCATTGTAAGTTTTTGGGTTGCACCCCCTCCAGAAAACAAACCTCTGGAATATGGTAAGCCAATGTTAATGAACTACAGTATTGTTCAAGATAATAGTCTACACCCTGATGTTCTTAAAGAGATGGTAAGTATTGTAAAGCTCTAAAACTGATGTAAACTGTGTGCAGTGCAGACCTAAAATTACAACTAATCCATATTTCTTTACAGACCGCATTGATAGAGTTTTATAAGGATATGCATGACTTTATTGACTTCAATACAGTGTACAAAAGTGAGCTAACGTATTTGGAGAAACTGAAGGTTCGTATTGGCATTTGAAATGTACCCTTTCTTGTTAACAAAAAATTTTGAACTCTAAAATATATCTTCTTACAGGCCACACTTAGTCCAAAGTTTCCACGGGATCAAACTGATGGGGTTTTGTGGGGCTTCATCCGCCAGCTTGTTACCCCAGGGTCAGAAGAAAAGGATGATGATGGCAATATCAAAGTTTATGCACCAGAGACAACTACTATCATCACAACCAACACATCGACTTCAACAACAAGCACATGCCCAACTACTCTTGTTGTGCCTCTTGTTGTTCCTGGAAGTAGGAACACGGGATGTACCTCAGTCACAAATTCCATCAACTCAAATTCGCTGGGGGCTGTCAATTCTACCACATCCTCATCATCATGTACAAATACAACGTCAGCAGGATTTTTCTTAGGGTCAGACATGACTAGTGCCATCATTGCAGCTGGGAAGTTGCCTGCCGGTACATCACTAATGAGCGTCTTACCAGGAAACAACCAAAATATGTTTATCTCTCCTTTAGGGCTAAATTTACTGAACAACAGCAATGCCAACAAAGGCTGTAAAACTACCAGCACTACTGGATCAAATTTAGCAACTATCAGTAGTATGGGAAATTTGGGAAACTTAGGAAACCTGGGGAACTTGGGGAATCTCAGCATTGCAAATCTTGCTAATCTTAACAATCTCACTCTAGGCAACATGGGCAACCTTGCAAGTATTAGTTTAAGCAACAAAAATCTTTCAGGATCAAGTATAAATACCAATAATTTTAGGAATAGTGCAAATATGTCTGTATCAATTAGTAATGCTTCTACTCATTGTTCTCATGTATCTACTACATCTTCAGTTTCTCATTCATTACTGAATTCTTCTGTCTCCACTGTATCATCATCAGTCTCTACCTCATCTGTCATTGGTGGTTTCAAAACAAGCGTTGGTGCTATAGAAATATCAGCTAGTACTGATGTACCTAAAAAAATTGAGAGTGACTCAATTACCATTTCCACAAGTTCGTCAAAAGATGACGCATCAGTCATGATCAACACCAACTCCTTGAGCAATACTGCTGTTACAAACAATATCCCCTCTATTCCTCACTCTGCTTCATCACACAGCTCTGTGAACAATATTTCAAGTGATGTTAATGGAAGCAAAGTCATTAATAATATTAGTGTTTCTGTGGATAAGTCAATTGGTAACCAACTTGACAGTGACCCAGAGAGACCAGCAAAAATTCCAAAACTGGATGGAACATCAGTTGTTACTAGATAAGGAAGTGCAATTTTTAGGCCTATATTTTACAATGTACCTTTAATACATGTGTACATACTACTTATCCGTCTAATGTCTTGTGAAAAATGTTTAGTACTGTAGTTGTCCTATTTCCGTACTGTATAGTGTGAATGTTTCATTTAAGAGGGCTTTCTGTCTCTTGTATTATTTTTACTATTTGTATGTTTTTATGATGTAGAAAATGTTAAGGGCAGAGCGGGTTTTTTTTTTATTATTGGTTTGGTCTTTTGCATAATTCCTTTTTTTTTCTCGTGTGTTTTGTGAAGCAAATATTATGTGTTTTTAAATTTGTAAGGACGCAATTCATTTAATGTTGCTAGGCTGAGTCTTTTTAAGTATTTGTGAAAATGTGTTTGTGTGTACTTAGATATTTTTTTTTTATATCTATATATCTACACCCTTTTACATTATTTTAGTATGTATGTAGGTATGTGTTGTGTATGTACAGTATCAGATATTCATAGTCTGTTCTGAATGAATAGTAAATAGTACTTTTGCGTACACATGCGTAATCTATGCATGTATGTCTAGTAGAAAATTGTATCCTTATTGGCCTTATCTTACCTTTGGATAAATTTGCATTTGGTTTATGGCAAACCTCCAATGAAATGGCAATCTCATCAGCAATAGTCACAGCATTTTTATTTTTCACATCTCTCTGTTAATGTTTGTTTTATGATGATTAACCTTTGGTTCTCAAGGTGATTGTTTCATTATGTAGCTGTTAACTAGGACAATAGAAGGTCTGTGCGTTTTTGTGCTGTTTTAAATTGAGTAGTACTTTAAAATAATTTCGGCATTTATTCTGTTCGCTGATGACTTAGTCCTTTGAAGGTATGCATTATTGACCAACAACATCTCTTTTTCAAAACAAGATCTCAATAAAGTTTTAAGTGACACTTTTAAAATTGAATTATTGTGAATGTGTATTTTTAGATACATGGAGAGTTATAAGTATTTTCTCAATTTCTGTGATGCAAGAAATGTAATATATTTTGAAGTAGATGACTTGGTACCTCCATTATATTAGGAGTGAATTAGCCATGTGAAGTCATCAAGTGACGAGAGTGAGAGTTTGTATGTAGCTTGGTATTTTCCAACCAATGTGACTAATAAATGTTCTTTGGAGTAGGAAGCAACTTGTAAATTTATTTTGTCCTAGGCTTTTAATCTGTAGACAAACACTATCCGTGCCCCCCTTGTCAAATGATGAGGGGGCGATCATCACGTGTAAATACCTCGTTCCCCGTACCCCCAGTACCCCGTACCCAGTCAAGAAAGAGCCAAGCCGTTTGAAGTTAGCGCGCTGTAAAAGACAAGGCTGGCCAAAATTGCCGAAAGCGAGTGTCTGGAGTGGGCGGAGCCAGTTAATTTATTTATCTTTTCTCTCTGCTGTTTTTGGCTCTGTCATTACACGAATAACAACTTAATAGGATACTAGAATTGAAATAAGATAGTGCCGTTCAATGCAACCGTGCGCAGATTGTTGATTTCCACGCCTGTAGGGCATCCCATAATAATCTGTCGGACTGACGGCGTTCAATGCATGTTTATCTTTAACCTTTCTGACATTTTCTAGACCGATACAGATCCTGTCATCGTTACTGTTAGACGAGAAAGGCCAATTCGTCATGATGCAACACAAGTTTGTAAGCAATTGTTTAAAATCTTATTGACACGGTTGCATTTAAACGTTGTGGCAATGCGTCAATCCCTTTGTTTTCAATGTCAGATTGGTGGTCCCCAACACGTATTTCCTACGGATAGCATTCTGTGAAACATTGTCTTCCTGTAAATACTTGATTTTTGATCTGCAAAGTGTGTAAAAATACGAAACTTGCTCCAGAATCTTAGATATTGAGTGTTAAATATTGTAGATATAACCCAACTTATTTTGGTACTTACTTGGTTTGTTTTGCACCATTCAATTTGTTGTGTTCTTTCTTCTTTTGTTCAACAATATTGAACTATGTTGAATACTTTTTTAGTATAAGTAACTGTTCATGATTTTTTTTCAATTTCTTTCACATAGTTGCCCTTAAGCCTAAACACTGACCATTTTTCAGGGGCTTTGCAGATCATCTCTTTGACCTTTATTTCATTTATTTATTTCTTTATCCAGTAGGTATTCAAGATTTTGAAATGAACGAGACATCGGTTGATACCTTTGCCTCAGAGGGCTGTTCTCAAGTCCTGAATCGCAATTTGCCTCTGGTATGTTAACTAAATGTGCTCATCAAATATACTTTTCATGAAATCTTTGTTTCTCTTTGCGTCATCATTGTTTTAAAAATGTATTTTGTTTTCACTGCAGTCCGATTCTCTGTCAACATCTGTACCTGAATGTGGAAAGATGGAAGGCCATGCCATCCAGTTGGCATCAGAAAAAGTTAGTGAGAAATCATCTCCTTCTGAAAATCAGTCACCCTCTCTTGAAGATGATTCCTCATCTTCATGTATACCTGAAGATATTGGTGATGTGGCTAAGCAAATGGATAAGCTTTCTGTTCACCCAGACGAAAGTGTGACATCCATTAAAAAATCCTCAGCTGAAAGCAGTCCAGCCTCGATCAATAGAGGTCCGGAAGAGTATCAACTGAAGTGGATAATGTGGCATGATCACAAAACTCCCATTATCACCCAGAATCAGAATGGACCCTGTCCTTTGATTGCAATTGCAAATATTCTTCTCTTGCGTGGTAAAATGAAACTGTCTTCAAATGCTTCTACTATAACAGCCGAAGAACTTCTTACTCATGTGGCTAACAATATTGTGGAAAGTAGACCAGAGGTTTGTAATTCCCATGGTGTGATATTAAATGGCTTCTGAAACAATATCTTTCGACCAAGATGACAAATCATCTTTCAATTCCTCTCCAGGAAAATTCAGAGGAAATTATGCGGAACTTTGAGCAGAACATGCATGATGCTATGTCTTTACTGCCTCAACTTCACTCAGGTTTAGATGTTAATATAAAATTCACTGGGTATGCTTTTCATTGATATTGTTGAGGACATGAAATCTGCTTACTTTCTGTTAAGTCTTAAAACATTAATTTTTTCTTTTGCCTTCAGAGTTAACCACTTTGAGTTCACTGAAGCATGTACAGTATTTGATCTACTTGACATATCTCTGTATCATGGTTGGGTTGTTGACCCTCAAGCAACAGAAACTGTTCAAGCTCTTGGAAATATGGGGTACAATCAGCTGGTAGAAATGATCATTCAAGACAAAATGGCTGATGATTCATCCAAAGTTACCAAAGGTATATTTTGTTTAAGTATTAACCGTTACAAAAATCTACACTTTTTCAGAAGTTAATAAAGTAAAATAACAAATTTTATTTGTATTTTGTAGCTTTATTGGCTGAGCAATTTTTGGAGAGCAGTGCCTCACAATTAACATATCATGGTTTATGTGAGTTAAATTCAGTAATGGCTGACAACGAACTTGCGGTTCTCTTCAGAAATAACCACTTCAGTACAATATTCAAACGTAGAGTAAGTCAACTGAAAGCAATGTCTCAAAGGGTGTGTTCTGTAATTACTACTTTTTCATCTATTTTCATCTGTCTACCCACTTTATGTGATTTAGGTCCCAACAAGATCAAGAGAATCAAAACAAAGTATAGAGCAGGTATGGAGAATTTTATTGTGTTATCTCTGTTTACTTAATTTTTTACAGATGGATTATTACTCATATTTATGTGTCTACCAGGTTCAAAATGAACTGTTCCTACTTGTGACTGACCAAGGTTTCCTTCATGAGTTCAATGTTGTTTGGGAAATGCTATGCAATATTGAAGGTGACTCCATGTTTGTGGACAGTGCTTTCAAAAATGTCCCACCTAAATCAGCTCCAGAATTCTCTCCTGCTCCTAATACCATGTCTCAGATTGACCAAGAGTAAGTATTATTCTTAAGTTTTGTTCATTTTAGCATCAACTGATTCCATTTGAATTTCTATAAAGGGTATTTCAACTATGCTCTGGTGTTGTGCAAAATGTGTCTTTACTTCTAAGGAAGTACAGAATGCCTGTTAAGAGCGTGGCTAAAATGGTTACCTTTATTTGTGTTGGTTCTCATGCTTCCTTTCTATTCTCCTCATCTCATGTATCTCTTTATTTCTCTGGATTTATTATCCTTTCTGAACAACTGTAGTTAATACTACTTTACATTTTAATTAAATTCTATGAGGGTTGTCCCATGTTGCATGTGAGGTTTGACTGGATTGGGTTGTGTAACTTTGGGTCTATTATTAGTATTTTTGTCTCGTCAGAGGAAAAAAAATGAGTGTTCTGCTTCTCCTCCTTTCTGTGATTTGTCTGGGTTTTGAGGTTTGAATCCCTTTCCTTCCCCAGCTATATGGTGGCTTTGGCATTGCAAGAGGATATGCAGCGTCTAGATGATTCATGGGAAGATGTTAAAAAATCACATCCTGATGAGGACCTATCTGAACTTTCAGAGTGAGTTGCCACTGACTTCATAAAGCATATTAGAAAGAGCAGACATGTTGCTTTTGCTGTTTGTGATTACACTCTGCATGCCTCATCAACAGTCTACCAAACATTCCACATTACAAATCTTATTTTGTGCTTGATACTAGATTTAGAATTAAGTGCTTTCTCGTGCAAGACTACTATTTGAGTTGCTGTCGTATTTTTCAGAATGGCAGTCACCCTAGTTTTCATTTGGCACCTTATAAGACATGCATTTGGCTGATTTTTTGGCTTGGAAATTATGTTGAAATGTGTGTATATCTCAAAACTTTTTTCTAGTGAGGAGCTGGCTCGACTCATACATAAAAAAGAGATGGAAGGAGCTGCTGAACAGGAACGAGTCAACAAGCAGCTGGCTGAGCAGTCTCAGCAGCCCACTACTGTAGGTAACCAGGCGTCACCAACTTGCTCCTGCAACTCATCTGACTGTAGTCATCGCCCCCCTGTTTGTGCTGTTGAGACTTGCACACCAAACCCAAGTGGTTCACCAACATCGTCATCCCACAAAAAGAATGCTGTGAGTTAATTCAAAATATCATCTCCTAATTTACTTCAGGTATGCTTTGATGTATTATATTTTTTCATGGGTTGTTTTCAGTGCTCGGTCCTCTGATAAATGCTTTCCAGGCCTGCGTTGACCTAATGCATGGCTTGGAGGAAAATTTTCAAGGCATTGATTATTAATGTGTTTACTTAATGGGACAAAACGTTGAACACTGTGCCCACAAATATTCACGAAGAAAGAAATTTATTTCTTTAAAATGGGAAAAAGCCTTGTCAGTTGCAAGTTACACATGGAATGACATTTCTCCAAATGGCTTAAACCAAAATTTATTTTCAATACTGTGAATTGGAGCCAATATTTCCACTTGACACAGCTCTCACTATTGTGAGTCATGTGTTTGTCAAAAATTGTGTTTTCCTCATTTTTGTGTTTGTTTTATTTTGAAATGCCATAATTAGAGTAACAGGTGTATGTTTTAATAGCCATGTGTGGCTAGGAAAAGTGGCTACTGTCACAGTGAAACCAACATACAACGTATTTAAGGAGTCTGTCGCGAAAATTCGTTACAAGTGGGAATCTGTTATGTTACCACTAAAATCATAGCCAAGGGGAAGAATCCAATTCAAACAGAAATTCTGTTATCTGGGTGTCCGTTGTGTGTGGGTTTCACTGTATATCTCTATGCATGAATTGTTGTAAATTATTGTTTGAAAGTTTATCTTAGAATTAAAACTTTACCTAAGCTAATTTTTGGATTTTTGCCATCCTAGCAGTTGTTCTCTAGAGCTTTACAATGTCCCATTCTTTAATTTGTATGTAGCTAGTGGCTTTACTCACAGAAAGGTTTTGCTCATTGACATTTTGCTGATTTTTCTTTGAATCTTTGCAAAACTGGTTAAAATTATTGTTACATTTCTTCAATGTCTTTAAACATAGTTCAACAGAAGTGAATAAAATTACAATTATGGTTTGAAACTCCATGGAAAGGTGTTGTTATAGATTTTTTGATAGATGTTGTTATTTATTGGTTGAATTTGTTGTTGTGAGCACCACACTGAGAAAGTTTAAAAAAAAGATTTGCTGAAGCTTTAAAATTTGTTTACTGTATCTGTATTATTTCACATTTGCTAGATTTGAAAATTTTTACAATAATGGTAGAGATTTTGAGATCTTCTAAATTTTAATATTTGTGCGCCAGAGATGTTAATGTTAGAATCTTGATTGTGTGTAATAAGATTGTCCTTATCAGAACTATTATGATTCTTTCAGAGACTCATGCAAGTTGTGAACATTGATTTTAACTATTTTCAAGAGTTTACTGAGGGCTTTCGTCATAGTTATTCCTGTTTGAAAGAAAATTTCCCCCCAAAATTTGCTGTTGTCACATTCTGTGACCCTTAAAAAATATTTCTAGCAGTTGCAAATGATTTTGAGAACACATACTTAGCTATGTCTTTGTTGATATTGCACTTTGACACCATTCAAATAGCCATGTGCCTTATTCAAATTATAATTTATCTTGTTACCAAATATTTCATCTGTTGAATCATGAGAATTTTATTCACCTAGATATATTCTAGGAATGTAGCCAAAGAAAACACATACTTTAACTTTTGTAAAACATTTTGATTCATCAAAGTGCTAGAAATTGTATCAAATCGAGCTAAATATTCTACAGGTGGATATGAACTGAGCGAACAAACATACTGTTTTCGTAATTGTTGACCTCTTTGTTCAGTGTGCAGTGATGTGCTCACAAAACGTGGACTTTGGTAAAAGACCAGTATTTAGTAGATGCGTTTTGGGTCTGTAATATTTGAGCATTGTTTTTTAGGTTCCATCCTTTTGGTCTGTCAAACTGCAGAATCTGCACTCCCTTAAACATTCCCAAAAAAACATATTTTGAGGCAATTGTTTTACTTAACGCTAGAGTTGTATATTCAGTTTATTGTTTCATTGTGCCCTGTTGTATGTTGAGCTGTTGTTAATCCTTCAGTAATTTTTTTCTTTTGCCTCAATGGCATTTATGTTTTGTCAGCTTGGCTCTTTGAAGTATAGTTTATTAATTGCAATATGTGATGGTGTGTTCATTTATGAACTACTACGATTTATTTCAGGGTCTAAGAAATCTCTTACTTCTGCTGAACTTCAATGTGTTCTAAACATAAAGTAGAAAGAGTTAGAAAGCAATATACGCAACCTATACAGTATCTGGAGAAACTCTGAATAATAGATCAAAATGTGAAACTGCTGTGTCAATTTTTGTAGAGGATTTGGCAATGTTGATGTGATTACATTTTCTTTAAAATTATTTTCTTGTTGACCTGATTACATAAGTTTTCTCTAATAAATTGGTAAGTTTTCTGACCAATCACTATGATAATAAGTTCTTTATTTGTAGTGCTTGTGGGTACTTGTAAGGAAACCATTACCGTTTTAAACTGTATTAATGGGCAAGCAATATTAATTTCTTTTAAGTATGTACTAAATGAATGAATGGTTGTACTGAAATAGTAATTAACTAAACATTAGCCTTAATGTAGTTAATACAATAGAAATTCTACGACACATATTTTTTGCCTGTGTAAATCAGCATCTGCAGATATTGAACTACCCTCATGCCTTTTTAACTAACTGAACACTTGCCGTTATTTCATGTATCATGTAAAATGCAAGATCCTTCGTTATTTCCAAGGGCTCTACATGACAATATAATCAAAACCATGATGTTTGTTGTAGTATACTTGGCGTGCTCTTCTTGAAATTGTGGAAAAAAGTTGCAGTTAAAAGTACGTACTTTCAATTTCTTTAGAGAAAGGGAAGTCTTGATTTTAAAAAAATCTAATAATAAAAAAAAAACTTTTTTTTTCTAGTTCATGTGAGAAAATGTTAGAACAATCCTGCAGATATTTGTCATAGTTTTCGTGAAAAGTCCTTCTGGTCTGCTCTCAAAATTGTTAACAGATTTAACAACCTTAATACAAGGCAAAAAAATGTCTGATCTGTGATGTGCTGTGTTTCATTTTAAATGCCACATTTTATTTTGGCATTCCGTAGGTTAGATGATAACATGGGATGTATATACGCATAATAATTGCTCAGCTAATGACTGCATTTGGAAGGTCTAGAGGGAATGACTCTGCAAACAGAATTTTGAAGCAGCACCAGAAGCAAATGCAGTTTGAGAGTATCAGTGCATTAGTGTGGTATTTTCAGTATTACCAAAACTTGAATTTTAATGGTTACGTTTTGTTAGACTTTGTAAAGTAGCTTTCGAAGTAAACTTACTATTTTTATGATGTTTTGTCGTCTAGTCAAAGTAATTTAAAAATAACTCATGGAATTGAAAAAATATTACAGTGGTTTATATCTTATGTCTCATCTGATTATGAATTATGGAGCCAACATTGAGCTTATTTTCCTCATACTTCTTATTGCATTCAAGTTTGAATAAAGTTGATCTATGGAAATATGGGTTTATCAATCAATGTTGTTGCCATCTCCTCGGTGAGCAAGCGGTGCCGCCGGGGTGTTGGTTGGTCCCGCCCGTCAGCAGGGCGCCGTCAATTGGGGAGCACGGCCCGGGGTGGAGCAGCGACAGGCCCGGGGGATAGCGCGGCCTTTAGCGGGGCAGTATCGTCTCCAGGCAGCCACTGAGCGACGTGTAGTCGTGTGTAGTCGGTACTGACCGGGCACGGGGGCGCACTCCATGTGGCAGTCGCTGTCATACGGGCTGCGGCAGCAGCAAGGTAGCGAGCGGCCCGCATCGCCGCGCTGGTGACCTGAACACGGGTCTTGATGTCCTCGCCCTCACCAGGGTGTGCTGCGCTGTCGCTTTTGGTGGCCGCTCTTGACTGACGGTTCGATCCTGCTTTTCTTTTCAAACTTGCGCGTCTTTACGCGTACACACCGCTTCCGGTAGCCGGTCGCCGGTCCTTCCCCCTTCTCTCCATCATGGGCAACCGCAAGGTATCCTTCCACCCTTCCCTCCACGGTGCCCCTGGAAGCGGCCAACACAGAGGCCAAAAATTGGAACTATAAGAGATATTAGCGACCATCTGGAGTGACTGTAGTGACCCCCACCCTCTAGAATTCCCCGCCCCTCCTGGAGGCTCGCATTCCAGTGACCCTATCCAACCCCAACCTGCGGGCTGCGTGGTCTCCCCTTCACAGAGGCAGCAACAGCACCAAGGCCATTCATATCCCATTTCATTTCATCGCGAAGAATGGACGTTTCAGGGAAGCGGGTAGGGAAGGGAACAGACAGAAAGACCAGCCTCTGCGAGCTCTCATAGCGCCCGGTAGGTAGGCAATATCTTGCGCGCAGTGCATGCGCGTACTGCGGGGTGGCCTACCGTAATTTGCAATTTATCGATTGAATCTGCGCGAAACGGATGTGCTCCTAATACGATCCTCTACCCGCCGGGCGCTCAGCTTAGCTAAGGCCGAGGATACAGCACACAGAATACAGTATAGCGGTCTGACGATGTTGCATCTCGTTTAGCATGGTTATTTGAGCGCCTAAGGCTAATTTTCCATCACGTTAAGAGATTTCGAGCCGTCGTGGGGGGATTAAATAGTTCGCCTTGGCGAGTTTTTCGAACTGCGGTAGATCGGTAACAAGAAAATCTGTCGAAGTATATATGCACTGTCCCAGCACAAGATTTAGTCCACTCTTATGTTCGTGCTTTCCATCATCTTGTCTCTAAGCAGCCTCCGACAAACTCACCCCCAATTCTAAGATGCAAACTTTTCACAAAATATCGCGACCATCGCGTCAGTCACGAAGGGTGTGAGAGTAGTGGCGCCACCTTAAAGCAGGCAGATGTCACCCCCTGACCCAAACTCTAGTGGATTAAATTCATTGAAAAACATAGAAATAGTTGATTGAAAATTGAAGGTCACGCGCCAGCCATGTCTAGCTAAAGGATCATCCAGAAAGTACCTTTGTCATTCACCGTTACGAAACTGCCAAGATTATTCTCTGCGAGATCTCATAGTGCCTGGCAGGTAGGCAACATCTTGCATGCAGTGCATGCATGTACGGTGGGGTGGCCTACCCCGAGTCTCGCAGGTGCCGAGATTCCACAACTTGCCGACTGCATGAATCTGAGAAAAAACTTCCTTACTTTCTGGATGATCCGACCCCTTTCCCCACGAAACCTTCGTGACCTTCGGTTTTCGGTGAATTCCGCGCCCATCGTCGAAATCAGCCAAATTCCGACTTCGGATTTCTGGATGGGAAACCCAGAGCGCCGAGATGTCTGATATCACATAGAAACTCCCACCACCGTTGGTGGTCGTGGTTCGTATGGCGAAGTGGGGTGACGCGACGATCTTCAGTAGCCTCAATTCTTATTTGACGATCTTCTCTATATGGTCTCATTTAGCGTACTTCGACTGGGCTCCTAATGTGGTCAAAGTGTATCACCACAAAAAAAGGTAAACGTCCCTTCTGCAGTGCAGAGAGGTGTGAACAGAAGGTGTCACGATTTCGGTCAGGGTCCACTTTATGGGCGGCCTGATAATAGTCTCGCACAACGATGTCGCAGTTTATCCAATCAGATGGGGACCGGCTGCCGAGTGCGAGGTGGAGGATGGGGACGGGGTGGAGGGG